TCATCATCATCATCATCATCATCATCATCATCATCATCATCATCATCATCATCATCATCATCATCATCATCATCATTGCAGACAACCTGCACTATATAGAACAATATAAAACTTTGGGCGGCACTGCACAACCGTATGGACCAACCGCGCCTGCTTAAAATAAAACTTTACTGAGCTACAAATGAACAGAGAGATATAGTTTGAGGTATGTTAGTTTTTCCTGAGGTGGGGTGGGGGAGGGGAGGAGGGAGACAAAGTGAGTAATTGGGTTTGTTAAGAGAAAGCCTAAGGGCAGTTTTATAGGCTACTTTTACGAAATGGATTGCTTTTATGTCATGTCGTCTACACTCTCCTTGTACTGATGCTGCAAACCCTAGGTCTTCATAGAGTACGGTATCGGTTCCGCAAATGAGATAGAATATTACGCCGGTCTTATTGGCGCGTAGTTTAGAGTCTGGTTGGCTTCTTTATATTCGCTCATCTCAACAACATTGACAGTGGTCTATGGTCTCAAGTGTAAAAGACCCTATTTGCATTATTTGAAGATTATATGGTTCAGAGTAAACTATCACATAAATCCCTATGAGTAGGCCTACATTTAAACGATAGGCAAATCACATGAAAAGATATCAACATCAAAAGACTTCGCAGACTATCATTAATCAGTCGTGATTGAAAAGTGTTGCTGTGCACCGACTGTTTATTCCTCTCCGGAAAAGCGGCGCGCCCCTCGTTTGACACTCGTGACGTCACAGCTAAGATCTCTTGTTGTATTTCTTATAACCTGTTTACAAACTTGTAAAAATCATAAACGAGTCCTCTATTTTTAGACTCCGGGTATGTGAGTTTGCAATAACAGAAAAAAGAGTGAATGTGCACAAAGAGAATAATATGAAAATTTGATGCTGATGAGTTGGTCTTATCACTCCCTATCACAACACTTATTGCGTTATGTGAAAGGTAAGACCTTCGCATGTAACGTCCGTCTCCGATAGGGCCTAGCCAAATGGGCTGAGAACTTTTAAAACTCCTCGAAATGACCCGAGTTTAAGAATGACAGGTTTGGAATTCGGACCAAGACCATTCTCCTCCTTAGTCCAACATGATACCAACTGAGCTAACGCAGTGAATGCAAGAGCAGAAAAGTATTGTAGTTAAAGGAATAAGAATATTTGATGGCCCATGGTGGGTGGCTGATGAGATTACAATTTTGCTAGTAAATGGTTTGTGATCAATACTTAAGTAAAAAATCAGACATTTTTATGTCCCCACCGACACAATTTAGATTATTTAGATAGCAGACCCCGACCCTGCATGCCAGGACCAACCCCAGCTGAGAGGGATGCAACATCCCAAGAGAAAGAACTATATCATCATCATAAAGTGCCAGATCTGAAACAGATATCGGCGATCATGGTTCTCCATTCATTTCTCCGCTCGAATGCTCTCACAAAATATCCTATAATATCTTGGTGTTT